AAGCACACATTCCTCTCTCTGGGAGCTAGTTGGACTAGTAGGAAAATAATACATGTGAACAAAAATTAAATAAAATATCAACGTTGATTCTTTAATGAAAGTGTCTATAAGACACAAATGATGGGTGATGTTTTAAGCATACCTCGACAGTGGTTATAAATCAACATAAATGACAGGAAAACGCCTCAAGAACATCGTCTAGGTCTGCTATCTTCAATTCCTCTCCTTCTATCTTCTCTTTCTCTCTTTCTCTCTCTCTCTCTTTTTTTTTTTCCATTAGGGTCAGTGCAGTTTTAAGCCTCGATCATGGTTTTAAAATTCTGGACACTTCTTTGTATAGAGTTACTTTTTGAGATTTCTGTACAGAGGATATCTGTGCTGAAATACAGAGGATTTACTGAACATATGGAATCACAGACAAGCAAATTCTATTTAGCAATCAGATGGTCCGAGCTACTTCTGTAGCTGGTGTGTGCATGCATGCATTATTACATGCTGAGGACACTTCTGGAGATGAATGCAGCTTCTTAGAAATGAAACCAAGGACAATGACATTTTATAAAAGGCAGAAGAGGAGGCAGGCAAGGAGAAAGGGGAGGGAAGCAAGTGGAGGGAGTGCGTAGTCTCTGCTCCTTGGGGTTTGAAAAGCTTCCTGAGATGTGCTGGTGGAAACAGTGGATCCGAGTTGAAAGCTGCCTTCTCATCAGCTGACAAAGTAACTGTATAAGCAGGATCAAGTAAACCAAATTACAACCCCAGCCCAGGTCCTTGACCTTCTCACACGTGATTAAAAACAGGCGGGAGGAAGAGTAGACGGCAGAAGCTGCCTCCTCCAGTTGTAGCAAGGAGATCGTGTGCTGAGCCTCTTCTGGGGGCTGAGAGAGCCCAGAATCTCAATTTTTCCGGCTGTCCTGAGATGACCTCCTCTTTTCTCATACAGGAAATTACTTTGTCTTTCTTGCAAAAGATATTTCAGTTTTAAATTCCTCTGTATCGCCTCTCACCCCTCTTTTTAAGCTGACTATTGACAACCCCCTTAATTTATTCGTGGGTTGTGGGGTTATGGGCAGTTCCACAGGCTCGTCAATGTAGAGAGAACAAAAAACCCCCATTTGCACTTGATTTCTATATTTCTTGTCTCCCTGCTGGTGTGCCTGTCTCCTGCATTGGACAGGGTTAATTGAAGGTGGGTTAATGTGAGGATCCATTTGACTCTGAGCTCTGACCATCTTCCCGCCCCAAGGTGCCTCATTCACAATTCTAGGAAATTGGGCCAGCAAGCCCCACGTTAGCCCCATTATTTCCCTTAAGCAGCTTCCCTATTTAAAATTTTTTTCCATGTCCAACCTCAAGAGCAACTGTCTCAGGAAGCAGAATCTCCCCTCCCTCGGGTCATTTCAGTGGGGACTGGACGACCGCGGCGGCGGGCTTCTGGAAAGCTCTGCATTTCTGGTTCTATGTTGGTGCGTGGAGGAACCCACGTGACCACTGACCTGACGTCCTTGCTCTTTCAGCCCTCGAAGAACCTGGACAGTGACGAGGACTCTCCCCTGGTGACGCTGTCCTTTGCGCTCTGCATCCTGGGGAGGAGAGCCCTGGGAACAGCAGCACACAACATGGCCCTCAGGTACCTGGGGGGAAGGATGCTCCAGGCACCGACTTTCTGTTTGATAGATTTTTGTCAATCATCTTCTTTATCTGAAAGTTGGACTGCTGCTACTTCTTCCAGAATGTTCTTTCCCTAATAAATCACGTTGAGCCTGTGAGAAGACTTTCCTTGATCACAGTCATGTTGTGGAGTATTAGATATGGAAATAGCATTAACGCCAAATGCTCAGAACCCCGGGATTCTGGGTACGGGCAGGGCCTTCTGCGTTACAAAGGGTCCTTGCAAACTTCCTGGGAAGAGTCAGTGAAGCTGTGTGTGCAAAGTGCCTCGCCTGGGATTCAGCAGCATTCACTTGATTATTGGATGCTTGATTGTTGGGGCTTTGATTATCAGATGTTCCTTCTCCTGTTTTTTTCAAACTCTCTACCACATCTCCCCCTTCTGTGTGTAAATAACCCAAGTTTCTCTTCTCAAAGAATGAAACGATTTTGAGTTTATTTATTTTTTATTGTCTAGCATGGCGTTTATTTTCTTATTGATGCATCATCAGTTTACAATGTTGTGTCAATTTCTGGTGTACAGTGTAACGTTTCAGTTATATATGCATAACATACATATTTTTTATGTTCTTTTTCCTTATAGGTCACTACAGGGTATTGAATATAGCTCCCTGTGCACAGAAAATTGTTGTTCATCTATTTTATATATAGTAGTGTGTACCTGCAAATCTTGAACTCCCAGTCTATCCTTTCCCACCCTCTTTCTCCCTTGGTGACCTTGAGTTTCATTTTTAACTCTCTCCTGGTTGGGCGAGGGTCTAGCTTAGTGGTAGGGCGCATGCTTAGCATGCACAAGGTCCTGGGTTCAATCCCCAGTACCTCCATTAAAAAGAAATAAATAAAAACCTAATTACTCCCCCTCCTAAAAAAATAAATAAAAATTTTAACATAAGTACATAAATAAACTCTCTCCTGGCCCATCCACCCTCTTTCCCCCTCTGCCCTCCAGGTCTCGTATCCACAAACGAGCCCTTGAGCTTGCATTCACCAGCGAAACTGTGCTTGCTCAGAGCCCCCACCTCATGGCCAGCCTGCCTTCTCCAGCAAAACTGCTCCCCTGAACTTCATCAGCCACCTCCTCGTCACCCCAGTCGGTGGCCATTCAGCACTGGGGACCAAGTGTCCCCAATTCCACCTGTCCCTTAGAGTCACCTTGATCAGTGCACAGGAGAATCTCCAGAGGGGCTTGTAAATATCCCAGTGCCCAGACCCGGCCCCCGTGCAGAGCCGTCACATCAGAACCCCTGTGGGTGGACCACCCATCAGGGTTTTTTTGTGGCTTGTCAAGTGCTTCCTCCTGCGGTCAAGGCTGAGGACCGTAC